TATATATATATATATATGTATGTATGTATGTATGTATAAATATGTATAAATAAATATATATTTTATATAGTTTGCTTGTCTGTGGCTTAGCATGCTGTGCAAATGCTGTCAATGAGTTTCTAAACCAAGACTTAAGTTTTAATATGAATCCAACCAACTCAGTAAACCCAGCTATGTAAACCATCACTTAGTGAACTATAGGAATGCAGACGCAATAATTGGTCTCCAGCTTTGCCTACAGGCTAATTGCATATGTACATGCTTTAATGTGGCCTGGTTCACACATCAAGGTATAACTTGATGTTCACCTTCAAGAAATGAATAGCATAGAATCACTTCATATTACTTGCTTTTCAGTGGAGTCAGTTCACACAAACAATTAGAAGCCATCAAGTTTATTAATGAATTCATGGGTATATTTGCCAGAATATCTTAACAGCAATATGCAGGCCAGTCTAAATAATGTTGAATACATAAAGAAATGATGTTACAAGGCTATTATCTACAAAAAGCCAAGAAACTCTTCTCTTTCTAAAAATGGTCCTTCCAAACGCTAAATTGTCAGCATGCAATGGTGGGTTTGGGGCATAAATTAAAGTCTACATATATTCCACACCAGCTTTGGAATTATGATCTTTTAATCTATTATTTTTAAATTGTTTTAATTAGGTGACTTATTATTATTACTACTACTACTTCTACTAACAAATAAGATTATTTTCTCATTTTGTTGTATTGCTTCTAACCTTGGCTTTTACCTGGAACTGGAGCCCTAGGAAAATGTTCAGTCTTGCCATTTTCCCAATCTTTGTATTCATTCAGTATTGATCCTTGGTATGAAATGGATACATAGGCAGTTTACCTCTTGGAAGATGAATGGCCTTGTCCCTTCAGCAAACCACTCTGTGCTGAGATTTTTTAGTTTGTCTAGAAATGCTTTCATATCTCCAGGCCACATGTGCTTGGCAGCATCTATTCGAAATCCTGCCACACCAATGTCAATTAGATGGTTCATATACTCTGCAACTTTGGAACGCACGTAGTCCTTCTCTAGTGCAAGATCAAGAAGACTAACAAGGCGACAGTCCCGAACCTGTTCAGAAAGTTTATTTAAAGAAATCAACTGCTCTTTTCCAACATAAACAGACCCTAAAGTCTCCAAGGTTGTCCTTGGATTCTCTGATTAGCAAAGAAAAGGTGGGGGCGGGGAGGGGGAGGGGGTCAACCTTTAGGATGGGTTGTAGATAATACAATCTGGAATATAGCAGATTGTCATTTAAACCTAATCTGGTGTTAAAATCCCCAGCTATAGCAACATGAGCTTGGGAATGCAACCAAAGATTATTAATGCAGATTTCCACTTTTGACCAGATTTCTACAATTTGAGGGTGAGTGGTGTTAGGAATATATAAACATTTACTGTATAAGGAGCAAATTCTCATGGATGACTGCTTGTGCAAAACTGTCAAAGGGATCTAGAGGAGTGAGCTCAGGGTTAAGAGTGACTGAAGTATGAATTCTCAAGTCTACATGGAATCTCCCTCATCTTGTTTCAAGGACTGCCAGAAGTGACGAGGATTTATAGCCTTCAGTATACAGATTGCTAGCTCTCCAGGACTTCTAAAATAAAAGAATATTAAACTGGGTAATATAACTCATGAAGGCAGACTTCCTTGTTCTGACTTCCCATCCAGCAATGTTCCAGGAGAGCGATGACAATGATTCAGGCAATCATACAAGTCAATGGAGTTTTCATGGTGTTCCAGAATGCTATTCAAATGGGCATCCTGCACATGAGGATTTCCCAGCTAGCAAATCACTAGCACAGAGGTCTAATCTGGCCCTTAGGGACAGTCCATCAGGCCTGCAGGTCTTCAGATCAGTCCCATCCCCAAAACCTTGGTCAGGCTGGACAGAAGTTGATTGTGCTAGCCCTGCTTCACTCACCCTTCATCCCTTTAATTTTAAGATGTCTCATGGAGAAGGCATATGAAAGCTCCCTGCCAAGCCCATGAAATTGGAGCAGAGTGAAATTACCAAAAGTTCTGATAGCTAAGGCACACACTGTTTTCTTAAAATAGAAGGCATTATTTATACTTTTTTTAAAAAAAAATCATAGCATATTAAAATAGTGCTTATTCTCAGAGGAGCCGTTGCAGCTGAGGTCTTGACTGTTCTCCCAAAATTGGTTCACCTTGCATGGTGGATTTTTTTTTTTTTTTTGGTGAGGACTGTTTCTATTCTCCCAAACTTTTTTCATGTTTCCAGGTTAAAAATTTGTTGCCGGTCATTACCCTGTTACTGATCTGTGGTTGGTCTGACCACAGTTTTTTTGTGGTCAGTATTAATGGCAGTATTATCTTTGATTGCATTCATGTATTTCGCTTTTTTAACGTTTATTTTGGGAACTGTCCAGAGAGATTGTTGGGCAATATAAAAACTTGCTTATTGCAATCAATAAATAAAACTGACTTTGAAAATTCATTCACTGTGGGCAGGTAATTCCTCTGTGTCCCAGCATAAAATATAATGCAGGGATATAGCACAGTGCCCTCTCATTAATGGCGCATGATTAAAAAAAGGATCGTGTGGAGACTCAGTGGGTAGCCATCTCTATGGGTAGATTTACCATGCACTCACAGGAGTCTTAATGTTTTAATGATTTTATTTTATGGAACATGGCAACATACAGCTTCAGAACTGCTGAAGCAGAAAGTATTGAAGTAAATTAACCAAAGTTTGGACTGAGTAGCCATATTTATAGATCACACCAAGCCATAGTGTAGAAGTACAGATTACGTGTCTGTGTGATTATGCACCTGTGTGTGTGTAATAATAAACTACACACACACACACACAGAGATGAATAATCACATACACGCATAATACACACACACACACATAATGTTCCATGTAACACTTGAAGTTGAAAAAAGATGAGGGAGGGGAGGGAGGGAGGAGGAGAGAGATGTTCGTTTCTATAGCACACTCACAGAATGGGCTGGGCAAAAAACAGATGTTTTGGTCAGTTGGGGGGGGGCAATATTGGGAGGTTTAATGGGAAGGTTGGCCAAGACCTAACTCATTTTGCTCCTTAAATCCCCTTAACGTGGGTAAAAAAATAGCCTGGAGTTGGTGGGAATAGAGAGTTTTTAAGTAGTAAAATGGGAGGGGGGGATTAAAACTTTGCAAGGCTTACCGCATACATTTTGCACTTTAAAATTCCCCTAAATGCTACCAACAGAGGTACAAATGTCTGCCCCTTTCACTCTGGCAAGGTTCCTAATGTGGCACTGGGACCACATGCAATCCACAGGTTGCCCACCCCCTACTTTAGCATGGCAAGGCTGAATCTAGCTGAATGTCAGCTTAAGTGTACCTCCTTTCATCATTTTTACCACAGCCAGGAAACCTAAGAAACCTTTACCTATGTATTAACCACAGGTTAATGCCTCTAAATCAGAAACTGGGGCCAGTATTTACTGTTTTAAGCCTTGCCAGTTTCATGGCTCAAACTGTCATTCAGGTTAGCCATAAGTTGTCAGTTTGGATGACAGAAGAAGTTATGGCTAAGCAAACACGGGAGCAAAATGATCAATTACATTCCCGCAGGCCCCCTGGAAGGGACACACCCAAGCCCAGGGCCCACTGAGCACCTGGCCCATCAGCCACAGGTCTTAGACCTGTGCACTGGGACCCAGAAAAGCTTGTATCTCTCTACAGCTCACAGAATTAAGCCAAGTCAGAAAATAACCTTGATAAGGGTGTATGGGGGGGGGGGGGGGGGGGGGGGGG